TCTCTCTCTCTCTCTCGCTCTCTCTCTATCTCCCTCTGTCTCGCACGGCCCTTACAACATCTCTGGTTGCTCCGCCTCTCTCGCTCCCTTCCTCCCTAACCATCCCGATGCGAACCTTGGAACCTGTGACGGGACTCCAAGGATTGAAGCGCAAGCTTCTTACCTTCTAGCCCCACGGAAGCATGCGCGCCGAAATGGAGCCAAAGTCCGGGATAGACGATCAAGGGCGAATTCCGACCGTTTACCGGGAAATTTGGGTCCATTTTGTTCGGGGGTCCGGGGTTGGTCGGAATTGTCCATGGTCCATAGGGCTTCAAGTGCGGGTTAGTCGACTGGTTGATTGGTTGGTTGGTTGGTTGGCAGGTTGCAGCTGTAGGCATCGACGACTCTGCAAAACTTCCAAGAGGCGCACAGCCCACAGCAAAGCGCATCCGAACTACAAGAAGCCGAACATAAAGAGGGTACGGCATCATGACAACAACCGTGTTCGCTCAATCGAAAGTCACGAAAGTCTGCTGTGGCTGCTATGGCGTGCGAGCACGGCATGGAAAGTATATGTCATTTGCTGCATGTTCCAGAAACCGACACTTGCAATAGGGGTCATGTATCGTCAAAGCCAAACATACGAACGATGCCTGCTTCTGCACAAGTCGACTGTGATCTCAGACATCTGCCTACCAAACCGTTATAACAGCAGACTAGCAGCAAAGAAAGTACAACGCAGGGATGGCTTCCAGAATGAAGCCAACGAAGGGCAGCGAAGTCGTGTACCTCAGCACGGCGAGGGTCGTGGTGGTGGTGCTGCCGCTGCTGCTGATACCAGCAGCAGCAGCAGCAGCAGCAGAAGTAGCACTAGGAGTGGCAGTAGCAGTAGCAGTAGCAGTAGCAGTAGCAGTGGCAGTGGCAGTGGCAGTGGCAGTGGCAGTGGCAGTAGCAGCTGCATGAGAGTAGTGAGCAACAGTAGCAGTAGGAGTAGGAGTAGCAGGAGCAGCAGCAGCAGTAGCAGAACGTGGGAGTGGGAGTGGCAGTGGCCGTGGCAGTGGCAGTGGTACTGAGGGTGGTGGTGGCAGTGGCAGTGGCAGTGGCAGTGGCAGTAGCAGTAGCAGAAACAGAAGCAGAAGCAGTAGCAGTCGCAGTAGTAGTAGTAGTAGTAGTAGTAGTACTACTACTACTACTACTACTACTACTACTACTACTACTACTACTACTACTACTACTACTACTACTACTACTACTACTACTACTACTACTACTATACTACTACTACTACTACTACTCCTCCTCCTCCTCCTCCTCCCACTACTACTACTACTACTACTACTACTACTACTACTACTACTACTACTACTACTACTACTACTACTACTGCCACCACCACTAGGAATAGTGGTACTCGGAGCAGTAGTGGTGCTACAGCGGTAGTAATGTTAGTAGGAGCCGCAGCAGTGGTGGTGCGTGACGGCAGCACTGGAGTAGCGCCACCGCCAGTATAAAACAAGGCGCTCTCGTCGCGAGCTCTTCGGCCGAGGCTGCGGCGTTCGCACACAGAAGTGGATGGACTGGATCACGGCGAGCGCAAAGTCGAGCCCAAGCCAAAACTTCGATGTGTTTAGCCTACAAGAGCCGGCAGAAACTTCCGTTTGAGGGCTGCGAGAGCTTTCACCATGATCCGTTTCTGGTTTATGGGCTTCTCGAGCCAAGACGAACCCAAATGCTTTCAGCCTGATGTCCTTTCAGCCACACGGTCACAATCAGCATCTCTTCAATTCAACAACCACCGGAAGGCTCCAGTTGCCCAAACGGTGACAACTCATGCTACGCTCGAAAGAAGGAGTGACAAGGAAATGGCACAGGTTCCCTTCACGAGATGGCTTCGACAAGTCGGCTCCTGCCTCAGGCATTGCAGCTCCAATCTCAGGCGCCAAGAATCCAAGTTGGACGTAGCTGCCGTTATGGACAGAAGAAGGCCGACACCTGGCACACGCGCTTCGATCATTGTGCAGATGAAAAAGTGCTAACAGAATTTTGCAACAATTCTGACATGCAGGGCTTGGAGCGCATCCAGCGGCTTGCTTTTTTGCCCCTCTTCAGTTGGACGAATCGGAAACCCCAAGATGTGCCTTGGCTTTTGCACTCCCACGAAACTTGTTATCAGCTGCATGACGAACAGCCACACCGCCGGGCAAAAGCCACCAAAAGAGGTGTGGCCTAGCAATGCGCCATACAGGCCACCACCTGGGCTGCTGTCCGGTGAAAACTGAAGGTGGCGTCATGGCGGCGAGCCCACTCAAAACATTGGAGGACATGGTAAACACCAGACCGCCGACGAGAATGGGAACACGGCCATCAATGTTAGCGATTCGGCGATTCGGGATATATGTCTGGATTCATGCACGCTGCATAGGTTGGAAAGGATCGTTGCAAGACTTACTATCATGTTACTTCCGGGCAATCGGCCAATAATTCGATACTACATCAGCACGTTCTTCGTTGAATTTGGTTGGCAGCCGGGTGGCTGAACGTAAGCTGCTGGAACTCATAGTCCCACGAGATCCCGCCACAGTCTGAGCCGCAGGAGAGGCCCTGCATTCGAAGCACACGTGTGATCCTAAACAGAGAGGTCTGCCAAACGCGAGAAAGCTGCCTCGCTTGCCATCTGGATCACAGTACTGACATGGTGGGGACACGAGGTTTAACAACCCCTTGTCTTAACATGTTGCAAAGTCTGCGAACCCGTGTAGCTGCCACTGGTGCAAGGCATTCCAACATCATTTAACCCCCAAAAAGCGCAGCATGTGCCAGTAAAACCGTGTGGGTTTCAACAACTCCCGAAATACAACTAAGTTCTTCCAGCATGAAAAACACCGTCGAATTCCTTTGAGCCAAGAGATTGACAGAACCAATTTCCAAGTTATTGACAACACACTGTTTTGACAACATTCGAGTGTCAGCGAACTTGTCGCTATAGCCCCGTTTGTCTCAACCATGCTTTGATCTTGCACATTCATTGCTACAAGCTGCGTGTGCTACTGGAAAAAATGCTGGCACGAATCCATGCTTTTGAGCTGAAGTTCTTGCTTCCCTCCCACGCTCCCGAGAAAGATTGAACCTTATCCCAACTCCTAAGCTACTAGCCCACCAAACTCAACACTGAATGAAGCACTCTAAATTCTTGAGCCCTGGGGGTACTAGCATGTCACGTGTTGCTTGCTCGCTGGTTCTCCATCTATCTGGGCAATGGGCAATCGCGTCATTCGGAACCATTGAAGCCATCTTGTTGGCATAACAAGATCTCGTGGTGCGAAAGAACCGTAAAACTTCTTTGCAGAACAGAAGCATCCGCATGGCTGCATGTTACGATGCAAGGTAGCAGTAGCAGTGCTAGCAGTAGTAGTAGTAGTAGTAGTAGTAGTAGTAGTAGTCGTAGTCGTTGTTGTCGTGGTCGTAGCAGCAGTAGTAGTACTAGTAAAAGAAGCAGGAGTAGTGGTCGTAGTTGTAGTAGTTGTTATAATAGTAGTAGTAGTAGTAGTAGTAGTAGTAGTAGTAGTAGTAGTAGTAGTAGTAGTAGTAATAGTAGTAGTAGTAGTAGTAATAGTAATAGTTGTAGTAGAAGTAGAATGCGCGCTTCGTTGGCATCCAAGATTGCATTCTGTTCGAAACGCATAACAAACACCAGTGGAGAGAAGTAATGGAGTGCGGCAAGCAATGCTGCTCGAAAACACGATTTCGCGCTTCAACCCTTCTTCAACAAAAGCAAGCCTACGAAAAAGGAAACCACACGACATCGCTTTCGGCGGCAAAAAGCCATAAAATCAGAAACAATTCAAGTAAACAGTAAACACACACGAGGAAAAGTCGGACGTGTCATGTAACACACATGAGCCCCCAGAACAGGGCCCCCAGTCTGTAGGAGGTGTTTGGTGTATACCAAAGCATACCATACCAATTACATAACAGTTTCTTTTCTTTCTTTAAGTTTCTTTAAGTTTCTTTAAGTTTCTTTAATGTTCCCGTCAGGCCAAATGCGAAAATTAAATAAAATTACAGATTGTTTCTTTAGACTGTTGTGTGCCGTGGGAAGTACGACTCTATTTTACCCGTCTGACTATGAAGGTTGGAGTTGCGAAGACTTTGGTTCTGAGCGCCTGCGCCTAGCCAAAACAATATTCGACAAAAATAATGCAATAAATCACCTTCCAACGCAAAAAAAACACGTGCCACATGGTTTCCTGAGCTTTGTGTTGTTGCACTTGTTGGTTTAAAGCTTCAAGTTGCAAGGTTTCGGTAGTTTAGGGTTGGCTTCAAGGCCTCAGCAACGAGATTTGGACAGCGACATTGGGTTTGCAGGGTTAAGTTTCTGGGCGGATGCGGGCTTGTTGGGGGCTTCGGATTAGTCAGGTTTGCTTTTGACGAATTATGAACCCGAGGACTGCACTTCCATTGAACGGAACCTTGGGTTTCGCCTCAGATTACAAACAGTTTCACCCTTTGCAGGACATAACCCTGACCCAAGAAGCCTTTAACCTCAGGGTTTGAGGTTTCTTGCGGCCTACTTTCATACGGTTTGGAACTTGGCAGTTTGGGCGGTCGAGGTTTGTGAGTTTCAGGTTTCTGAGGCTTGGGAAACTTGTCCCAGAATAAGCTTGAGCTCATCCCAACTAAGCCCCACTAAGCTTCCCCAACCCCAAGACCCGATGATTCCACTTGTTTGCCGCGCGCTGCGGCTTGTCACAAGCACGAATGGCCGTGCAGTCGAGGAACGTCGAAGCTCCAGGAGGATCTCTACTCATGGTTCGGGCTGACAGGAACGTACCTACCTAACCTTTGAAGAGGCTCGAGATGTCTGCTGATGTCAGTGAAACAGTGAATAGTGGACAAAAGCAGTCAGGTTTTTACTTACTACACACGGCCCGTCCCACAGGTAGTAGATCGTCGTGGCAGAGAAGTAAGCTACGCGACTACACATCGACAAGTTTTCGTTCCAATCCAGCTTTCGCACTTCAAGCGGTGCGAACACGCTTCGTCGAGCCGAGGATGCCAGTTTGAGCATCGAAGTCGGCAACGACACGGCGGATCTGCTCCCATGTGGGCCTCAAGCCAATAGTAAACTAGTATAACTGGTAAACGCACAGTGAACGACTTATTGACCCACGACCGAAAAAAGTGCTAAAACAACCTAGACCTAGAATGACTGCTCTACGCATTCCAGGGGCCGAGTCTGCTGCCGGTGTTGGGGTCTCCGGTCGGCGTGCGCATTCCAAAGGAAGGCCAGCACATCCCTCAACGCTTCGGCCTCCGACAAGTTCTTTTTGACGCCACCCCACGTGACCGAAAGGCTGGCCTTTTGGTGAGATCCTGAGGTGGCGACATTCAGAATTCAGGATGCGCACTGAACTGGATTATAAAACAAATGCAACTCCAAGCAAACAGCCGCAAAATTAAAATGCCACACGAAAACCATCAGTCACCCTCACCATCACGGCCCCCGATCTTAAAGAAACCGCTTGCAAGAGGAGGCACTGAACACGGGATAATATCCGGCATACGTTCGCTGAGCGGGGTTCCGTTTGATATAAACGCCTGGAAGCTCTCCCCCTCCAGGTATCAGAGGTTTCAACTCTGCTGGAGTGAAATTCTTTCTCTCCGTCACTGTCGCGGGTGGTGCCCTCGACGCTGCGGCAGGATCCTGCGATGAACCAGCCGCCACATCTGCCGGCAAGGCGGGTTCCTCTTCAGGCGCTGCGGGCACCTCGGCATCGGCCTGGCCAGCTTTCCCCCTCGCCGTTGTCTGTGCAGCCTTCTTCTTCTTATCTTGATTGATTTTGGTTTGTTGCAAAGCAAGCTTCCGCATCGGCTCGAACTCCTTGCTGTTCTCTTCATCCATGTGTTCCATGGCCAGAAGAACCTCTTCTGGGCACGGCAAATCGAGCTTGGACTTGGGCCCACCCATGATTGCATCGATCATGAACGTTTTGTCTGCATCCGAAGCAGTCGGGTAGAAGTGCTCCACGACCTTGGAAGCGAAGTCAGGCTTTGTCAGGTTGCCTCGCTTGCCTGACCCGCTGCCGCGGGGCGGCTTTGGGATTCGCTCGTGCTCCATCAGATTTAACAGTTGCTGTTTGGTCAAGAAAATGCCGCTGCAGATGCTCGCCGCCACCAAATCTTCTGGCTTGCCTGTCACTCGGAATGCTGCCAGAATCCCTTTGCGCTGCAAGTGTGGAGGAGTTGCCAGGGGATGCAACAACTCCATGGGCAAAACTTTCCACGGATTGTCAGCACCAAGCGACGACAGGAAAATCCAGGTTGGCGTGGGTGGAATCTTCTCAGGATCCACGACATAATACTCCTGAAAAGTGAAAAATGGCCCACAGGAGCAAAAATAACCACGAATGTCACCCTCTTAAGCCCGGGTTCCTACTGTGGCAGGTTGGGGGTGTTGTTGCTGGGGTTTCAAACGCAGGTGCCATGATTCAAGATCAGGATTGCAAGATGACTGCTGACACGAATCCTCGTCTCCAAGCTGGTGAGGAGTCAGCCTCACGCTCAAGGCTCCCCAGGTCCTAAATCCCAAGCTCAGATGCACGTACTTGGCTCTGTTGCTCTGATCGATGAAGAAGCCTCCCTTCTTGAAGAAAACTCCTGTCGCGAGGCATCGTAGTTACTGTCCGCATGCACACAGACACTGTGACACACACACACACACACATCACTGAATCACACTACACACACAAACACACACGCACACACACGAACAAACAAACTGCCTAACTAACCGACCTTAACACAACATGTCACATAGCAGCTAACAGTATTTGCATCAGATTGGTCACCACCTGCTGCCCCGACAAATGACTGACAGCCGATGCAACCTTTTACAAAACAAACAAGAGTATCTCCGGATGCCTGAAAGGACATGTCCCAGCCCAGTCGAACAATGTGCAACCATTTCTGGCGTTCCAACTCCAACGCTTCAATAACAATAACAACCCCAACCGACCCTTTATGATGGTGACTCAGCCAAGCCTGCCCAAGCAGTGCTGATGTGCCGAAATTTCACCGGCACCGGCGAGTTGCACAGGGTGGTCAAGAGAGCAGTTGCTGCTGCGGAGCGCTGGTTCGATGCTGTGCCGGCCTTTTTCGTAAGCTTCTTGAGCTTCTGCACAGTGAAGCCGGTCACGAACTCTTCTGGCTGAACACTGGCTGTCACATTGAAATTGCGAGCACCATAATGCTTGCCGGTGGCATTGGCAACGTCGCTCTCCGTCGGCTGCACCAACGGCCACTTCGTGGCGTGCGGTTTGAGCGTCGGATTGTGAGCAGCATGATAATACTTCGTCCACCTCGCATCTGACTCCGAAGCAGGGACTGGCTTGGGGGCTCTCAGGTTAGTTACTCCGGGCGTTAACATGAGAAAAAACAACTAAAACTATTTTGACGAGCTGTTACTAACGCCTGGTCACCTGGTCATCACTGCGCTCTTGCTGTTCCTCTTCACGACATCTGCCAAGCCAGCAAATGTATCCTCCAAATGGAACTTCGTGTTTTGTGGCCGAGCATGCAGCAGGAAGGCCTGGAGCCGCAAATTGTCGTCCGTTGGGTCATATCTTGCCTCGCGCAGAACCGCCATGCACTCACGTCCAATTTGCGTCTGGCTCCACCCCATGTCTGTGAGACAGGTTCGCAGCACCCGCTTTGCCGCAGCATCCAGTGCACTTTCTGCCTGTCCCGTCACCACGGCTTCTGCTTGCAATGTCGCTTCACAAATTGACTTGATGTGCTGCATCGCTGGAGCCCGCTGCTGGTGATTCGGGTGGTACACCAAGGAAAGGTTGTGAGGCAGAAGCATGACGAACTGGATCTGACTCCACGCGCGGGCACTGCAGATCTCCATGGTGTAATCGAAATACCGCTGCATGCGGTCCAATTCGTCACACAGCCAGGGCTTTTCAGCAACCTCTTCAGGTGTGAGCACATAACTTGCACCCTTCGTATTGCTCACTCCCAAAGAATGCAGCAACTCCGAGTCGTAGAAGACCCTGCACATGGACCTCACAGGTCCCTTGTACCACTGCCCACTTGCCCGCAAAGCTGAAAAATGTAGCGCCGACTCCTATGACATGACTGAAAGTGACCACAGAAAACGGAACCCAAACCTATAGACTAAAGTGACTAAAAAACGGAACTGAAACCGAACCCTGAACTGTTCAGACTACTCCACTCAGTAATCAGAACCCAAACCTATTCTTAAATTATTGTTAGGGTCAGGGCCCAGCGGCGACGGTTCAGAGTTCAGAATATACTCAATTCAGTAACTTGGACAAATGCTCCCAAAATGCGATATTTAAGGCTGATTCTCTGAACAGATAGGGCATCAACATTACATACGACGTCGCAGAAGTCTTGTATGCAAGTGACTGCAACAACTGCTAACAAATCCGTAGCTGCCCAAACTCCACTTTTACAGCACAGAAAAAACCCTTATCATAACCCGACCTGGGAGTATTAATTACACATGTGGTCTGACAGAAGCAGCAAGAACAAGTGTCACAAGACCCCCGGGTTGCCGCAGATTGTCCTGTCCCCCGGACTGCATCTCCAGGGCCTTGACAAACTCGTCGATGATCTCCTTGCCGCCCTCGTACAAGATGCGAAAGTCGATTTGCAACTCACGATCGCCGTAAAAGTGCTGGCACAGGTGGACAGAATTCTGAAAGTGCTTTCGCAGTTCATCCATCTCAGCTTTCGTTGTAGGGTTCTCAAGCCCGCCGGCCCTGACTGGCTCTTCAGCCGGCTCATCTGCCTCCCCATCAGCCTCGTCGTTTGACTCGCCAGGCTCCAAGCCGTCCAGGCCACTGTCGAAGCCGCCCTGCAAGCATCAGACGGTCAGGGTGGATTGGCATCGACAGACGGGCTTTGCCTGGGGGTTTCGAAGGCTTCCTTATACCGGCTAGAGATGTCTGAGAACCACCAGAAAAATCTCTCGATGTCCAAATCTTAGTCGTCTCAACGCAAGTGACGTGCCCAGAGTCCATGCAGCTTGGAATTTGTCACCTAGACGCAAAACAGACTCTGAATGCAAAGCACACCCATCTTGACACTCAAGCCAACCGCTGGTTTTGACATGTGATTAGGTAATCAGTCTGACTGATCGTCCTTGCTGACGATTTCGTCCAAGATCATCTCAGACAGACTCCACTGCGTGTCGAGGACATGCAAAGCCACCAAAGACTGCAGCCAGCTTTTGTATTTCGCCTCGGATCTGCAAAATAATTGCTTGCGAAGCGGACGCAGGAGTTTTGGCTGTTTTCAATTCAAGGAGGTCGGATACTGTTGGCCAGCAGGCAGAGGGCCCGATCTACTAGCCAGTGCACGAAACAAAACAAGATATGCTTCAGGGGCGAGGCACAAAGATTCCTCGATTCTGAACAGTCGGTTCGCTGAGAAGCGCAAGCGGAGACTGCGGCATGCACGGGTCATCCGCTTCGCAGCTGCGGTCGCACGCCATCATCTCCTGCAGGTCGTAGAAACGCTCACTGCTCATCGTGTGCACCAGACTAGTGAGCGTCTCGAGCTTCACCTGCATGTTGGCACCGCTCTGGTATGGGCCGTGGTTGATGTGGCTCATCACCACGCCCTTCATCAACGACGACTGCATCCCGGAGCGCCTGATGGAGTTCTTGACGTCGTTCCACAGCGGATGACAGAGCTCTGGCTCCACATGAATCCTGTAGTGCAGCAGATGTTGAAGCCCGAGCATCGCCTTGATGGGCAACCCATCTTCATCCGGGGCCTGAGCTGGGATACTTTCAGGTTTCGACTGCTCCGCAATATTGCGAGGAGCTGACTGTTTGCCTTTCAGAACAGTTCTAGGTAAGCTCGCACTGCACTTAGGTGTTCTCTTTTTACCGTGTTGGATAACACAACACAGGTAACGGCTGATCGACTGAAGCCACTGTAGCCCAGGTTTATCCTGCCTCATGGTGTGGCTGAGGTCCTATAGTGACATGATCCCTAAGAACCTGCTCAGCTTTCAGCAATGGTCCGGGCTCGGTGATGTGGGTTGGTCAATGTTTCACCCGACACGTGGCAAATGTTAACGTCGGCAGTGGCAACTGCTCCCCGAAGTTATCGACTCGAAATCAATTCCTCGCTTAAGGTTCAAGAAGAATTCTTGCAAAGATGGCATCTACTTGGTGGTCCACTTGATGCGATTCAACTTCCTCAAACACGAAGTTCCACCTCCATGCCGCCAAGATGCGATGGTGAGGAGCGGTCTCTCCAACGGAGACTCCGGACTCAGCACGAGCGGCTTCCCCTCTTCGAGGATCTGCTGCGGTCGGAGGATGGACAGATCCTTGCCGGTCAACGTCTGGAGGGACTTGTTGAGGCCGCGCGCCACGGACTTAGTTAGTGCGGCGAAGGAATTCACCGTCCCGCTGGCTCGAAACGTTGCAAAACTCAACATGTGACCATATCCTTGCTTCAGCACAAACACGGCTCGGAATAAAACAAGGTGCTCTCATGCCGAAGCAAGACTTGGCCGTCTTGGGAATTTTCTCGTTCCCACCCAGCTCGTGCTGGCTTTCATCCCTTGATAGTGGCGGGGAACATAAATACGAGGAAGCATTTGCGAGGTGTCCCAAAACATGTTCGCACTTGACTTGCCGGCGTACAACTAAAGTGCAGCCCAGAGTTCAACTGCACCTTCTCCAGCGGGACGCAGGCCAAAGTTGGCAATGCCTGCGCGAAACTAGCCGAAGCATAAGGCATACGCAGTGCAACCTTCGATTCATGCACAAACTGAACTGCGGCGGACCTGAACGCTGCTACTACTTTCTCAGACTCTCGCACACACTCAAGGGAACAGTGCACAAAGATTGCTGAACCGGCGTGTCACAGCTGGCGCTCAGCGCATGGATCGAACCCTCTGCCACTGCACTGATTTACCGGTTCTCTGTTGTTTAAGTTTCACAAATGCGAGGGCTCGGACTGCCCATCGATATCACAATGACAAATTATGCCTCACCTGTCCTATATAACTAGATAACCTCTTGTTCACATGCATTGGGCTCTCATCACAAGCGAAACAGCTGTACAAGACCTGGCCACGGACATATCATCAGTGATATTGAAGTGTGACGCACCGAATGTAAACACTCGGCACCGTAGCAAGGGCCAAAGGCTCAGCGATCATTCGACTGTAGAGCACGATCAAGGGTCATGCCTCGGCTGGATAGTTTATCAAAAGTTATATGGTTTGGTTGCTAGATTTCTTGAGGCGCGGGACTTCTGGTTCTGGCTAAAACACCACAGGAGAACAAGCCAAAACCATCGAGCCCAAGTCAAGAGACCCGGTTGTTGCGAGGGTGGGGCGTGGCGAAAATGACGCGAGGGGTTTTGGGGCCGGAACTGGGCGCGGTCAAAGGGGAGCAAATGCACCGAACTGTCGTAGCACTGTGTAGGACTGGCTGTGGGGTGGGGTGGCTGGGGGGGGTGGTGGGGGGGGGGGGGGGAGGGGGGGGGTGGGCGTGGGGGGGTGGGTGGTGGGGAAGGGGTCGGTGTGGGTGGGTGGGTGGTGGGGCTGGTGGACGGGGGGTGGGTGGGGTGGTCCAGTGGTGGCCTGGGGTGGTGGGTGGGGGTGGTCAGTGGTGGGGGCGGGGGGGCCCGGGGGGTGGGGTTGGGGGCTGTGGGCCGAAGGCCTGGAAAGGAAAAGAAGGGTTCGGAAAGGTATTTAAAGCTAAATAACGTTAAAGTTCGACTGGGGGCGCACCCAAACCTGCGCCCCCAGTCGAACTTTAAGGTTATTTAGCTTTAAATACCTTTCCGAACTTTTCTGTAATTGTTCCCGCCGTTCTCTTTAGACCCTCTAAGAACAACGGCAACAGTGCCCCAAACAGCAGCAGCCCAGCAGCCCAGCAGCCCAGCCCACCAACCCACAGGCTGACACGACATCAAGCACAATTTAAAGCCAAGGCACTCACGCAGGAAGATCCAACTTCACCTTCTTCGGAATCGGATTGCCCTCGGATGGCTGGACTGTGCGCTTCTGGCTGGCCTCGGAAGGTTGCGAAGGGCCCTCCTTAGCCTTCTGAAGCGGGGCCGTGCTCTTCTCTCCACGATGATCCGGCGGCGGCTTGTGCTCCGTCGCAACCGTCGCCTCGGGCTCCTTTGCCAGCTGCGCCGCCTTCGCAGCATCCAAGGCTGCTTTCTTCATGGCATCCTCCGCTAACTTCTTCATCTCGTTCACCTTTGTCTGTTCAGCTGCCTCCTTGGCAGCCAAGGCTTTCTGCTGCTCTTCCGCAACCATCTTCTTCTCGGTTTGCTCTGCCAGCCTCTGCATCTCGAGCTTATCTTCCGAGGCCGACTTGGCTTTCTCTGACTCCACCAACTTCTTGGCCTTCAACTCCTTCAACCTTTCCTCCTGAGCAAGGATCTCGTGGTCCAAGGCACCGGTTGTAGCCAGCAGCGATCCATCCGTGGATGGAGTAATGGCCTCTGCAAAGTTCGTCTGCACCAACTTTTCGGGCTGAGCCGGGGGTGGGCTTGGCGACGGTGCCTTCACCGCAGGCGCAGCCTTCGGTGCCTCGGGCCCGGCCGAAGCAGCAATCTCCTGAGCAAACAGCTTGTGCAGCCAGATGGACTTCTGCTTTCCATCACTGCACGACACATAGATCTTGTCGTTGTGCTTAGACTTGGGGTCTGCATTCTTGACAAGCTTCCAGCGACCATCACTGGTGGGCAACATCTTCATGAAGGGCTCCTTGCTGGGATCAAGTACGTACTTCACGTGCGCGGATCCATTCTCTGCCGCCCGCAATGTGTAAGCATCCATTTCCTGACCAGCAAGATCAGAACAAGAACTTATAAGGGTTTAAGAGCACATGGCACAATGCACTGGAGAATACATCTAGGTAGATCCTGGCCTGCACATCATCACTCGGATCCTTCGGATCGGGCTCGGACTCGGACTCACTGGGTGGCTGCGCAGTCTCAGGCACCGGTGGCAAAGTCGAAATAGGATTGCCGGGCGGGGGGCCAGGCGGCAGCATCTGCTGGGTGCTTCCCGGCAAATCCAACAAAGGCTCGGTGGGACAAAGGGCAGCACCCAAGGATGGCAATGCTGGAGGTTCTGGCAATGGAGTCCCCGAGGATGACGCTGCTCCTAGCACGTGGCTTTAATTTTGGGGGACTCGGGTCTAAGGCTTAAGCTTCTTCTAAGGACGGCTAAAAACACAAAGGCTACTTAGTGACTTAGTGATTAGTGATTAGTGACTTGAACAAAACGATGCAACAACAAATCCGGCCTGGCTCTCTTGTCTTCGGCACTTTTCCACGCCTGATCTCCTGCATGTAGCCCTTGTCACACTTGCTGCAATGAGCCTTCTCTTCATCACACGCACACACCAAGATTGCCACCGGATTGGGCAATGCCACATCCGGTGCACCTCCTCCAGCGGCCTGACCCGCCATGGGTGCGGAGCCGAGGGTTGGGCAGCGCTTGTCAGCCTGCAAAACCTGTCCCGGTAACTGCGGCACAGCAGACAAGGCGGTGGTCTTCTTCTGGAAGAAGCACACAGCAAACTGGGTCTTTTTGCCGTCGACCGATGCAATGTAAGGAATCCCCGTGGCTTCGTGGTTGAAAACCTTGGCCTGCCACCTGGTGTCCGAGGGAAGCCACGCAGAGGCTTGGTTGTCGCAACGGATGAACTGCTTGGAATCCGACTCCATAATCTGAAAGGTCATGTTCTTCGAAAGAAGGATTTCGGCATCTGTGATTATGTTGTTGACTGATTTGCCTTTGCACGGCTCCCCATGCCTTTTGTACTCTTTCAGCAGGAGGTCTTGTTGGTCCTTCTTCTCGTGCCTGCAGGAGGGGCCAGGCAAATCCGTCACACTTGCAAAAGACCGAGCAACTATGCAATAAACTATGCGTGATTGTTGCACAGACTGAGCCCCTGACGTATCGAGCTTGCGAGCGGGGTTCTTCCGGAAGAATGCCCAAAACACGCGCCTCATCTCCTTGTAGCTCAGCTCGTTCAAGGCAGAGAGGTTGCACGACTCGACTCCGACAGCCGCCACGAACTCTCGCATGTAGTTCGTCTTAATCAAGTTCAATAAAAGCAATACAGACAATCCATGATCGTGTCAGCTCATCAACAAAACCGTGAAACAACAAATCGCTTCCAAGTGACGGGCAAACCGCCAAAGGTGGTGAACTTGCCAGGAATGGTAGTGGATGTGATCTTCCGCTCCTTTCGATCCTTACCCCCCTTCGTCTTTTTCTTGGACTTGGTCCTGGACTTGTTTTTCGAGGAGGCACGGGATCGCGCGTTCGAGACGCGATCATCCTCGGACTCACTACTCTCCTCTTCATCACCACTGGCTAGCTCCCGAACCCCACCTTCAAAGACAAGCTCGAGGTTGCTGCAACCCGTCGTCACCGTCATGCTGTCGGCAGGATGAAACTCACACTCCAAGGCTAAGGCTGAAGCAAAAGATGATACGCTGCACGACACACAGCTGCTTGCTGCAATTGCATCAGAACTGCTGTCGGCACATGTCACGAACACTTGCTTCGATTGCACGATAACTACCCAGCCCTTCGGATTCTGTGCCATTCCGTGCCGGGGCTGTTGGTCTTGTGAGCTGGAGCTGCTAAGCTGTCCCTCACGCGACACATCACGAGTGAAACAAGTGTGGTTGACGGATTCTACGGGAGCCCGACTGGCTACACTCATGCCCAGGCAAAGCAAAAAACACTATCGTCGTCCAGTCACTTAATTGTTTGGCCGAAACACATCGGTCACTCATTCTCTGTACACCTGCAGAAGCATTTTCCGTAATTGCACAGCTACGCAAGGCCGGCGCAAATCACAAGTCGGACGGCCCGAAGCATGAAAGGGCCAACATTTGCATCAGGGCGGAGCAGTTGAAGTGCATGGCATTGCCACAGACATCGCTAGCACGGCCGACGTCGGTCGCAGGGTACTGCCCCACCAACATTGAAGCAGCCAATTCCGGCACGACTGGGAACCCCATCAGGCTCAGTCGTTCCTTGGCTGTGAGCCATCGCTGGAACATGGGGAACCAATACTTGGCTGTCTTGCTCCCCAATCGAAAAGTTGGTACTTTGCCAGAGCTTGCGGACCATGTTCGATACTCGGCTGAGTCTCCGAGGTAGTAGCAGAGATTCGGGTTCTGGCACGGGTCGTCCCCAAATCTGCGCATGTACTCTCCGTTCAACTTCTCGACGACTTCTTGCTCCCTCTGGAGCAGAAGGTACCAAAGGTTGAGACAGCCCGGCTGGAACGGTATCCCACGCTGTCGGGCACAAGCCTCTGCCTCCATGAGGACTTCACCCTTGGTGGCCACGAGATAGTCCGAGGGCTTTGTCGTGACATAACGATGCACGGCATCCTTGATCCTTGCATGGAGTTCGAAGGGGTCTCTTAGACAGCAAGTTTTTTTCTTGTGGCGGCCGATGACATAGGTCCGTGCCCTGGCCATTGCAAAATGGCCTGAATCAGCCGGCTCTGTGAACAACTGGAAAAAGTCGTAGTCCGGATGGGTTTGCATCACCATGTCCATGTCCAAGTCCTGGCATTGGCAACGAGACAAGCTGTTGAAACGGTTGCACGTGTCTCAAATGAAGAAACGACCACGTTCACTGCTGCCAAAGGTCCGGTGTGCATTCCAACAGCAGCAACGGGGTCTGCTTGTGGCCATGGAATTTGCCATGCACGGCATACACCGGGGCTGTGGCCCCCTCACGAAAAGCCCTTTTCCCTGCTTTGGACATATCTGTGCAGGGCAGACCTGCAACCGAAAAATCGGCTGAAGGCACACTGCAGACGGCATTGTGCTCGACACAGTGCTGCGCTCCTTGCAACCAGCAATGCTTGATGTCACGCGCCTTCTTCTTAAAGGGATCTTTTTTCTTGAAAGATTTGCGAGGGACCATCTCCATGATATCCTCGAAAAAATGCGGCTGGCTGTGCGGCTGTCCCACGGCATACTCACACCAGTGCATATTGTCGCGGATCAATTGCCCACATGCTGTTGATTTTTCCTTAGGAAGGATATCAACAATTTACAATTGCGTTGCCGTCGTCACAAATCCAATCAAGCATGGGTAGCCAAGAATCCCAGAGTGCGACAGTTGGGATGTCCACATTGAACGGCACATAGCCCGACACATTAACTGTATGCATTACAACCGCGCGGGCCATCTCTGCAGTGCCTGCACCTGTGCAAAAGGAAAACGCACCTTTTGCATGGGCAAGCCAAGAGTCCTGACAGGGCAAAGTCGGGACTCTGCAATTGCATGTTTGTGTTTCATGTGACAAGACAATGCACTTCAGCTGCCAGGGCAAGATTACACGTCCTTCAAAACTGCGCCACCCACAGACTCGCAAATCATCTGCCAAGCCAGCCCGATGACGGCACCAGATCGGCCTAGCCGCTGTCGCGAAGCCTGAAGGTCCTCGCAGGTCGAAGGTCACAGACAAGGGGTTGCTGGATTGTAATTTGGTATCATTAGATTTACATTGGATTCGCGCAAGCTTTAGACACATGTCCTGCCTGCAAAAAACACGCTGGCTCGCTGTTGAACAAGGAACCAAATATCGACAAACCGGAGCTCCCGGTGCACCTCGAACTTTCCATGTCCACATCGGCATCTGAAGCCGAGTCGTAAGATGTGCTGTTCTCCGGGGGGTCGCACGCCATCCGCAACGGCGATGCCATCACTCACTCACTTACAGTCGTGCAAGTGCCTAGTCACGCACCACTGACCCTATAGGCACCGCACAAGATTCAAGAATCTTGACCCAAGCAGCAACATTGCAGGCTGCACGTGAACATTGCAGCAATGAACTGCCCCGCAAACTGACATGACACGACAGCACAGCTTGCAACGGAGCACAAGGGGGCTCACCAGTGGGGGAGCAAATGCTCCACACCTCGCAACCGGACCTGAGACGTGCGAGACTCATTGATTAAGGCTTCGGGACTGGACTAGGCTGCAGCAATAACAACACATGTGAGGAGCTGGCTCCAGAAATGATAAAGCTCCAGAGGGGATTTTGCAACCGCACTTCCATCAAAGTGCACCTAGGCGACCCGTGCAACCGCATGAATGTCGATGTGACTTCGGTTTGTTGCACCGCACAACGTTCTGAAGGAGGACACTGACACTCTCACCCTGGGGCCACAACGTGGAAGTGGACCATCTCTTTGAAAGTCGCTTGAGCGGCAGAGACGTAGCCACCCTGCCAGGCCCATCATTCATTCTGTCATGTCGAGTCAATGGACATGCGGCAACGGTAAGAAAACAGACCAACAAATGGAGTATGCTATACAAACAGGGAACCATAAACCGCTGGCAGCAGTGGGCTGCCACATTGCCAGCATGGGCTTTGGCTGTGGGCCAACCCATATCTGCCATGAACGTCTTCGCCGCATGCTTCACCAGCAGCTCCTGGCCAACGAAACGAATTTGAAGATCAGAAACCTACTCACTTCAAAATATTGGAAGTATGTGGGCTACAGCTTTACATCGCAAGTCACTAAGTCTCCTCTCCATCACTCACTTTTCGCATGATCTCGCATATATTGCCCGGCGTCAGCCTGCCCCTCCGTTCATGCTTTGCAGTTTTCGGTTTCGCAGCGCTCCGGCCGGACACCAAGGCCACATTCTCATCCTGGGGAGTCACGAACAGAACACAAAACTTAACTTGTGGACTACACACGAATTCAATTCAGAATCCAAATTTCTGCGAGGTGCCAGGAATTTCCCAATCTGGCTGAGGAGGCTACACACCGTGGCTCGCAGGAAGTGTTTCTCGGCGAAGTCTGTCTTCTGAGTACTCCTGAGCAGTTGGCAATTCTCAATGACTCAAGCCACCAGCGTTGCCCGTCACTCGTTACACGAGCTATCAATCCCAGCAGCGGAAGAAGCATGAATGCCATGAGCTCTCCCAGATTCGGCTCCAGAAAGTTCGAGCTCACGAAGCAATCATCATCCTGGAAGCGCAGCGGCAAGGGTCAAAATGACGTGTGATCCTAAACCCGAATAAAACTTCGTAGCTGTCAAAGAGGCTCGATAACTTTAAGTTCAAGTCAACTCACTAACTCACAAAAATTCCGTATCATCGGTCCGGTCCTGTTGCATGAGCTGCCACAACTCGACAAACTCGGAGGACAGCTCTTCAACAAACATTTTCAAAGGAAATCGGCCCGAGCCGGCCACAGTGAACGTGATGGGGCCACGAAATGATGGGTGCCGGAAGCAAAGCTTCATTTGCGGACACCGCGCGCAAATACGCACTAGCTCACACAAAGTCTTGCAGGCTGCATCTCTTGCTTCTGGGCTTCGCCTTGGAGCAGCTACTGAAAAGGCCAAGGCAGACACCATCATAGACGTAGGCCATGTGTTCTCCCAAAAATGACGATCCTTCTTCGGCACCTCGCTTTTGCGATCGCTGAAGGGGGTTAAAACTGTGGGCGGGTCCACTCCAGGCCAGATCTTGCTATGCCAGTCGAGGAAGCCCGAATGGTTTGCATCTTTGAATTTGCCTTGGGTCCCATGAGAATGATTCTTCAGTCGGCCGAAAGACAGCTTCCGAATGAGGCAAATGTTATTTAATCCAAGCTTCGTGCAGCCTTGTTCAAGTCAGATTTTCCGTCTTGAAAATCTGTCACAGCAGAATAGATACATGACAGTCTCCACTCGGATTGGCGACCGGCAACTGCAGCGGGATTAACCACCAGAACTCTATTCTGGATCGCAATCTCACCTCATGCCAGAAAACAAAACAACCATCCAAGCTAAACATGCTGGCACACAAACCGTGACTGAAGCACCTGATTGCACAACCCAGTCACGAGGTGCACCATATGTGGCTGTGGCAGGTGCCGACATCGCCGCTGAAACAACAACGCCATAATATAAATTACACCATGACTATCCAAGACTGATTACTGGGACATTCACAGTATGGCCTTCGAACGGACACATGCCAAGTTGCAAGTTGCGAGCAAAGCAGCTTAACTACCACACAAATTACTGTCGCCCCTACAGATTGAAGGCGAGAGCAAATCCAAACGACTGTCCAGAAACATTAGATCGCTCACATTGTCCTCTCATGCCTAGGATTCGTTGACTTTGGGGACGCAAAGTGGCCAAACAGTTGCTGCTTCCTTCGAGTCGGATTCGGGCCAGGCAACCAGCAAATCACTTATCATGCATAAAACGACTGGCTCGTCCCTGGTCCTTCGTCAGGAAACAAATCCAGCAACCTGCTATTGACCGGCCTCTTCAGCAAAACTCAAATGCGAAGCCCAAAAATTCGACGGCCTTGAATTTAGGGTTGCTTTTTAAGGTCATGTTTAAAGCTTTTTTGTCATGTACGACAGCGAGAAGCACAAAAGTCGTGACAGCCTTGATTTTAGTGCTACTTTAAGGTCGGGTTTAAGGTTCTTTTTTTATTTTGCACCACTCAACGAGACTGTACAAGCGCAAGCCCTGGGGCCATATTGTATCAACACACCACAACAGCCGAAACGACTGGGGGCTCATCTTCGGGGGCCCACCACTGCTGTATAAACGTGCGTGCGTGCAACCACAAAGCAAGAGAGAACCAAATCGCTTTGGTTGATTAAAAGCGAAGACGGGCTTCCAAGGGGCTTCGAAGGCTTCGAAGGGAACTTCAAGGGCTTGAAGGGTCTGGAAAGGAGGCTTCAAGGCGGGTTAAAAGCAAAGTTGCAGCGGGACTCGAAGGGAAGCTTCAAGACGGGCTGAAAGGGGTTTGACAAGGAGGAGCTTTTCAAGAAACCTTCTCAAGGCTTCAACGGAGCTTGAGCAGAGCTTCAAATCCTTTTCAAGCCTCCTTGAGAAAACCGCTCCTTTTCAAGTACCTCTTCAAAGTTTTCGCTTGAGTCAAACCACTTACAGCTGCGCTTCCAAGCCTCCGCGACGGACTCGCGCGTTTGCGCGCGTCCTCGCCCACACAGCTCCAGAACTCGACGGAACGGAAGCCTGCCCAGTTTGGCTCCAAGAAACGACAGACCCTCCAAGCCAACACAGAATTCAAGCAGCAACCGACTTCACACCGCGCTATGGGGCGGCGGGAAGATTTCCAGCACCATTCCTCTGCACAAGAATCATTCGAATGAGATATTTGCGTTCCATGTGGCTGCCAGATCTGCTGCCTCCTGTTGACGGCGAGAAGACTCCACTTCCTCCTCTTCGACAGCTTGCAGATTCATGGACAACGACAGCAAGAATGTTCGGCTTGAGCGCTGCATCGAACAAATGTGGAAAAGATACTCCGGCCTGCACTTGATAAGAATGCCGCAAGTTTCAACTGAAGAATTTGAAACGATTTTATGTTCAAGCTTTCTTGATGGACCGCCACATTGGATGGCCGCTTTTGCGGAGATTGCCCAGGCCTCCGTCTTGAAGACTGAGCAGCCAGATTTGGAACCCGGATTTTTTTAAAGCCAGGTTTAAACCACCCAGTTTTGAAACCTAGGTTCCAACCCAGGTTTGGAACCCGGTTTGAAACCAGGTTCCTGTTCGGATTCCGTCTATTCCCCACCTCTAACCCACCCCCGAAAAGTGGCCACGCCCCCACCCCACCCCCCAGTAAACATGGAAGACGTGTCTAGCAGGCCCAAGGTCTGCCGGTGAATTCTCGCCTTTTCCAACGCACCCAGGTTGCCCACACGAAATCGCTTAAGGGGTTGAAAGCGAAAAAAAGCAGAAACAACACTGGTGTTTGAACCCCAGGCTCGAACACCAGTGTTCAAACCTCGAGTTCGAACACAGGTGTTCGATTTCCGGGTTCGAACACAGGTCTATAAAACGCTTTTACGAACACAAAAGAAGAGAAGCCACACGAGATCGCTTTGTGGGGGCTTTTGCGAAGAAAATAAGAGAAGGAACAAACACCAGTTTGAATCCGAGTTCAAACACGGTGTTCGAACCCGGAGTTCAAACACTGGTGTTCGAACCCCGAACACCAGTGTTCGAACCTCAAGCGAGGTTCGAACACTGGTGTTCGTTCGAACACTGGTCTATAAAACGCTTTTTCGAACACAAAACAAGAGAAGCCACACGAAATCGCTGTCTGTGGACTTTTTGCGAAGAAAAGAAAAAAACATTTCAATTCAGAGACACACAGAGGCCGCGCAAAATCGTTCAGCGGGAGAAAGCTCAATGGGGAGG